CTCTGTCTGCAGGGCTGCATAGGTCTGTGCAGCTTTCTTGCTGCCAAGAGTGGGTGCAGTGACCATCTTGGAGGAGGCTCGAGCCAGGGCCTCCTTAATGGGTTTGCTGGGCGGCAGAGCTTGGTGCCGGGACGATCCCCTGACCATGTCGGCGTGAGGCAGGGGGGTTGCTACGGCAACTGGAGCCATTTATATGACGGCGCGGGCCGGGATCTTTGTTCGGGTGGCTGTCTTCCCTGCGGCCTGACAGAGCCTCAGGGAGACATGTCCATCCCGCGGGCCGTGAATGCGCACTTCCGTTCTCTCTGTTTCTCATCATAGGCTCCAAAACAACAGTGGAAACCATTGGCTCCTGCTGCTTTTGATCTAATCCTGTAAGGAGGAGTGGAGGGGGAGGTGCAGGGCAGTCAATGGATGCACACAGCCTGGCTCAGAAGCAAGCCTGCAGACATGCCACCATAGGAAGGGGCTCCATATAATGGCACACAAAGAATAGGAGGAGCCAAGAGCACTGGCTTGGGACCCTAGAATAGTACACAGCGTGTTTTTTATTTTACGGTAATTTAAAAAAAAATACCAAAGTATACCATTTTTCCTTATTTTAACAAAGAAAAATCCTTCAAAACCATTTTAATACTAATATATCTTTCCAGTGAAATGTGAAAAAACAAATTCAACAAAAGTTTGACTTTTATAAATAAAAGTAATTCTTGCTTTAGTGAGTATGTGTCAGGGCTCCCAGGTATGACCAGAGATGTGTGACTGACGCAGGGAAACGCAGACTTCAGATATGGGATAAACAATATAATTTATTAACACTAACAATACAAACATAAACGCAGTGCAATACTAAACATAATACAGTGCAAACAAACCAAACCAACCACCCACAGATAACAGTACATACAAGCAAGCGTCGTCAGGCAGGCCGGGTCAATATCAATTGGGCAGGTAGGTACAGGGGGAGCAAGCGGAGAATGGTCGGGGTCACAGGCCAGGTTCAGCAGGTAGCAAGCAGCGTAGTACAGAGGGTCAAGCAGAGGGATGGTCAGGGTCACAAGCCAGGGATCAGAACAGGTAGCAAGCAGCGTAGTACAGAGGGTCAGGCAGAGGAACAGAAACAGGATGCAGGACAGATACAGGGCCAGGACAAACACACACCAAGGCAGAGTCTGTGGGTCTGGCCATCCCTTAAATACCCCAGCATAATCAGTTCCAGGTGTTAGCTGGCTGCAAAGTTGAGTCTCTGATTGCTGGGAGCACCCGCTGGCCAGCCCTGGTACTGCAGATCAAAAGGCAGGTGAGTCCCACCATTGCTGGCCAGTCCATTCCTGACAGTACCCCCCCCTCAAGGAGCGGCCTCAGGACGCTCCAAACAGTCCTAGCTGGGAAAAATGTTCCACCGCCCGGGTCTGGTAACTGGCGGGATATCAAAGACTGGCACACCTGGCAGGACTCCGGGCAGCGGTACACCAGGCAGAGGCACATCGGGCTGGACACCGGGCAGAGGCACATCGGGCTGGACTCCGGGCAGAGGCACATCGGGCAGAGGCACACCGGGCTGGACTCCGGGCAGAGGCACACGGGCTGGACTCCGGGCAGAGGCACATCGGGCTGGACTCCGGGCAGAGGCACATCGGGCTGGACTCCGGGCAGAGGCACACCGGGCTGGACTCCGGGCAGAGGCACATCGGGCTGGACTCCGGGCAGAGGCACATCGGGCTGGACTCCGGGCAGAGGCACATCGGGCTGGACTCCGGGCAGGGCAGAGGCACATCGGATTACCAGGCGAAGCAGCAGGCAGCGGGTCACCGGGCGGGCAGCAGGCATCGGGCCCCCGGGCGGAGCAGCAGGCACCGGGCCCCCGGGCGGAGCAGGGCAGGCACCGGGCCCCCGGGCACATCGGAGCAGCAGGCAGGGGCCCCCGGGCGGGCAGCAGGCCCCCCAGGGCGGGCCCGGGCGGGCGGAGCGACCGGCAGGGCACCGGGCGGGGCCGGGCGGCAGGCCCCCGGCGGGCGACAGCGGGCGCGGGCCCCCAGGGGGCGGGGCGACGGGGGGCCCCCAGGCGGGGCGACGGGCATCGGGCCCCCAGGCGGGCGGGCGGGCATCGGGCCCCCAGGCGGGGCGGGCGCAGGCATCGGGCCCCCAGGCGGGCGACGGCATCGGGCCCCCAGGCGGGGCGACAGGCGCATCGGGCCCCCAGGCGGGGCGACAGGCATCGGGCCCCCAGGCGGGCGACAGGCATCGGGCCCCCAGGCGGAGCGGCGGGCGCGGACCCCCAGGCATGGGCCAGGTCTCGGGCCCCAGGCGGAGCGGCGGGCGCCGGACCCCCAGGTGGAGCGACAGGTCTCGGGCCCCCAGGCGGAGCGGCGGGCGCCGGACCCCCAGGTGGAGCGACAGGTCTCGGGCCCCCAGGCGGAGCGGCGGGCGCCGGACCCCCAGGTGGAGCGACAGGTCTCGGGCCCAGGCGGAGCGGCGGGCGCCGGACCCCCAGGTGGAGCGACAGGTCTCGGGCCCCCAGGCGGAGCGACAGGTCTCGGGCCCCCAGGCGGAGCGGCGGGCGGGCCCCCCAGGTGGAGCGGACAGGTCTCGGGCCCCAGGGAGCGGAGCGGCGGGCGCCGGGACCCCCAGGTGGAGCGACAGGTCTCGGGCCCTCAGGCGGAGCGGCGGGCGCCGGGCCCCCCCAGGCGGACCGACCCAGGTGGAGCGACAGGTCTCGGGCCCTCAGGCGGAGCGGCGGGCGCCGGACCCCCAGGTGGAGCGACAGGTCTCGGGCCCTCAGGCGGAGCGGCGGGCGCCGGACCCCCAGGTGGAGCGACAGGTCTCGGGCCCCCCAGGCGGAGCGACAGGTCTCGGGCCCCCAGGCGGAGCAGGCGGAGCGGCGGGCGGCCCCCCCCAGGTGGAGCGACAGGTCTCGGGCCCTCAGGCGGAGGAGCGGCGGGCGCCGGACCCCCAGGTGGAGCGACAGGTCTCGGGCCCCCAGGCGGAGCGACAGGTCTCGGGCCCTCAGGCGGAGCGGCAGGCGCCGGACCCCCAGGTGGAGCGACAGGTCTCGGGCCCTCAGGCAGAGCGGCGGGCGGGCCGAGTCATCTGGCACGACAGTGGGCTCCGAGTCAACTGGCATGACCGCTGGCACTGGGTCAGACATTGGATCGTCTGGCTGGACAGCGGGCATCGGGTCACCAGGCATCAGGTCATTTGGCTCAACAGCGGGCACCGCGTCATCTGGCAAGGCAGTGGGCTCCGAGTCAACTGGTATGACCGCGGGCACTGGGTCAGACATTTGATCGTCTGACTGGACAGCGGGCATCGGGTCACCAGGCATCAGGTCATTTGGCTCAACAGCGGGCACCGCGTCATCTGGCAAGGCAGTGGGCTCCGAATCAACAGGCACGACAGTGGGCACACCGGGTCATCAGGTACCGGATTGTCTGGCTCGACAGCGGGCACTGGGTCACCAGGCATCAGGTCATTTGGCTTGCCAGCGGGCACCGCGTCATCTGGCAAGGCAGTGGGCACCGGGTCACCAGGCATTGGATCGTCTGGCTCGACAGCGGGCATCGGGTCACCAGGTATGACAGCGGGCACTGGGTCACCAGGCATCAGGTCATTTGGCTCGCCAGCGGGCACCGCGTCATCTGGCAAGGCAGTGGGCACCGAGTCACCAGGTACGACAGCGGGCTCTGAGTCAATTGGCACGACAGCGAGCACCGGATCAGGTACCGGATCATCTGGATCAACAGCGGGCATCGAGTCAACTGGCCTAATAGGATCATCAGGCTGGATCAGTTCATCATGCTGGGTAGAGGCATCAGGCTGAATGCCGGCGTCCGGCTGAGTAGAGGCTTCAGGCCGAGTAGAGGCTTCAGGCCGAGTAGAGGCTTCAGGCCGAGTAGAGGCTTCAGGCTGAAGAGAGGCATCAGGCTGAGTAGAGGCATCAGGCCGAGTAGAGGCATCAGGCTGCGTAGAGGATTCAGGCTGAGTAGAGGCTTCAGGCTGAGTAGAGGCACCAGGCTGAACCACGGAAGGCAGGTTCTCAGACGGCAGGCTCACCGGTTTGGATACTGGCAGGATGGTATTGGTTGGAAAGAATTTTCGCTTTTTTCTGGTTTTAACTACTGGAGCACTGCAAGTAAACGCAGGTCTGCAAACGAATGGAGCAGCTGGAGACAGAGAAAAACTGGAGGATGGAACAGGAGAGGGAGCAGTTGCTACAGAGGGCTTTTTTACAGGGTTAAAGGCAGGATAGGTGCAGCGAGTGGGAACAGGGTACTGACATGCGGTAGATAGCCAAGTATACTGGGCTGTAACTGGAGGAGCTGTTGGGAATACAGGAGAAGAGTTAGAAGCAGGACTGGGTTTTTGTAAGCTGACTGAGGCTGGGTGCAACAAGTCTGTCCATGTCTGCAGTAGGGGTTGAACAAAGCTGAGCTTACACAAAGCCTGTCTGGTCAATGACTGCACTGCGTTTATACAAACTCTTAGTGTCTGTGGTGAACATGTGGAATAACGCTCCAGAAAGTAACCCACATCATCCTCTAATAACCACACCAGGGACTCTACCTGGTCTGCACTAAATGGTGGCAAAAATTCATCCCTGCATTCGGGGGAACCAGATGAAACCAACTCTGCACAAACCTCAATCAAAGGCTGCACCTCAGAGAACTCTGTGCCCTGATCTACTAGAACATGAGCGAGCCGTATACATTCTAGCAGTTCATCCCGGGTATACTCCTTCAGAGTTTGATAAGCATACTCCCTGTCATCAAACACTAGCAGAGATAAATACTCAACCTCATCCAGATCCATCCTTCCCATCAACAAACCAAGATGGCTTCCCTGTGCAGCCACTTCTGGTCAGGATTGGCCTTGGTGTAATGTCAGGGCTCCCAGGTATGACCAGAGATGTGTGACTGACGCAGGGAAACGCAGACTTCAGATATGGGATAAACAATATAATTTATTAACACTAACAATACAAACATAAACGCAGTGCAATACTAAACATAATACAGTGCAAACAAACCAAACCAACCACCCACAGATAACAGTACATACAAGCAAGCGTCGTCAGGCAGGCCGGGTCAATATCAATTGGGCAGGTAGGTACAGGGGGAGCAAGCGGAGAATGGTCGGGGTCACAGGCCAGGTTCAGCAGGTAGCAAGCAGCGTAGTACAGAGGGTCAAGCAGAGGGATGGTCAGGGTCACAAGCCAGGGATCAGAACAGGTAGCAAGCAGCGTAGTACAGAGGGTCAGGCAGAGGAACAGAAACAGGATGCAGGACAGATACAGGGCCCAGGACAAACACACACCAAGGCAGAGTCTGTGGGTCTGGCCATCCCTTAAATACCCCAGCATAATCAGTTCCAGGTGTTAGCTGGCTGCAAAGTTGAGTCTCTGATTGCTGGGAGCACCCGCTGGCCAGCCCTGGTACTGCACATCAAAAGGCAGGTGAGTCCCACCATTGCTGGCCAGTCCATTCCTGACAGTATGTGTTTCTGTGGGGTTATCATGAAAGACATGAAGTTGAGGAATTTGGGTGAAATTGATCTCAAAGTTTAATGGGAAGATTGATGCTGACTTTACTTTGCATTGATAAAATAAACCTGAAATAAAAAAAAAATATATGTTTTATGACACAAAAGCTGGGTTAAAAAAGGAAGGGGGGTGGAAAAATACGTAGCTATATCAAGGGTCCCAATATATAGTCCATAAGGTCCAATATTCACTCCTATAGATGGCTGCAGCTCCTCTGATCAGAGTATAGGATAGATCCTCTGTACTTGTACACTGCAAAAGATTCAAAAGACGGGCGGCATCATCTCAGTGTAGTAGAACCAGGATGCATCTGCAAAACCTATGCAGAGTTCATCATGGAAGTGTTGTTGGGTGATGCAGAGTTGTTACAGGAATTGCTGGGAGAAAACATACTAGTTGGAACCAGAGTGGAGCGCACCAGCATATCAGAATTGGAAACTGGAAATGAAAGCGTGACAAAGTCAGGAAGTGGCAACAGGATGACATAAATGGCAGGGGGTGTGGCTACAAATTTTGAGGCCTCAGAACACCCCATTATCAAACTTGACTAGACACTGAACTGCAGAAATTTATACTGGAGGGACATGGGTGCGTTAATTGCTTACCAGGGGAAGAGGAGACACTGGATGTGCTCCAGAGATTACAAGTCAATAGAATCAATAAACCTCAGTTATTACACTTTGCACACCATGGACACAAACCAATAAGAATAAAAAATAAGACATCTAAGGAATTAATCAAAACCATGACAAATATGTAAAAAGGCATGTAAAAATTGGTAAATAAAATACGGACAATATTATTCAATAAATAAATCTGCCATATACTGTATTAATACAAGCAAACACATGGTTATTTTAGAAATTGCATCCACAACAATAAATAATGCATGAATTTCTGAATATTTGAGAAAAGGTGGGGTACATATAGTATATAGAAAATAAAAACTGAAAGTAAGAATAAAAGTTAGACTTCTTTAGCAATAGGTAACAACAAGATCACAGTACTTTTCTTGATTTCTTCATTGAACCCTGTTGGGGACAAGGGCATTTTAAACTTGAAATAAGAACTGTGATTGCTGATTTATATCACCAAGATTTCAGTATGAATTTTCGGTCAAATTCTAGAGCCTGATTCTAAATGGGATGAATTACTATAGGGGGGATGAATTACTATATGGGGGATGAATTACTATGGGGGATGAATTACTATGGGGGATGAATTACTAGCATGGGGGATTACCTTACTAGGGGGATGCAATTACTATGGGGGATGAATTACTAATGGGGGATTAATTACTATATGGGGGATGAAATACTATATGGGGGCATGAATTACTACAGGGGGATGAATTACTATATGGGCCCTGGCATGAATTACTATGGGGGATGAATTACATGGGGGATGAATTACTATATGGGGATGAAATTACTATATGGGGAGACCTGAATTACATATGGGGGATGAATTACTAATGGGGGATTAATTACTATTAGGGATGAGCGAATTACTCAAAAATTCGATTCGGCTAGATACAGGGGCGAATTCGCGGGCATAAATTTTCGATTCGAGTCGAATATATTCGCTGCGACATAATTTAACTTACGGGTGTTTCTAGGCTTCAGAGAGCCTTTATATTAGTGCAGAACACTATGCCTTTAATTTAAATGCCCATGCAGTCTGCTGGGGAAGAGAAATAAACTGTCATGTCAGTATGACATGCAGATGAGTGCCAGTCGAGCAATAGGAATCACCGCACACTTCATGAGACATTTGGGCAGTCACGGGGCCAAAACCAGAGTGTGGAGCCACAGTGTGGCGGTGGAGGCAGCAGCAATGGGAGGCATACAGCACCCAATGACAAAATGGAACCACCAGCAGTGTGAGGAGACCTGGAAAGTGGCACATGGCAGAGTGTGGCGATGGAGACAGCAGCAATGGGAGGCCGTACAGGGACCCATGACACACTCTGGACCTGGGGTGAGGGGGGGGGGGACAGCAGCATGAGGAGGCGGTACAGGGGCCCATGACAGATTACGGGGCTGGCAGCAGCATGAGAGGCCCGTACGGGGGCCCATGGCAGATTACGGAAACCTGGCAGCAGCAATGGAGGCCCTGTACAGGGACCCATGACACACTCTGGACCTGGAGCAGCAGCATGAGGAGGCGAGGTACAGGGGCCCATGACAGATTACGGGCCTGGAAGCAGCATGAGGAGTCGGTACGGGGCCCATGGCAGATTACGGGGCCTGGCAGCAGCAATGGGAGCCCGTAATCTGCCAGCACCCTATGACAAAATGGAACCCACCACCAGCAGTGTGAGGAGACCTGAAAGTGGCACATGGCAAAGAGTGTGGCGATGGAGACAGCAGCAATAACTGGCAGGCCGTACAGGGACCCTGACACACTCTGGACCTGGCAGCAGCATGAGGAGGCGGGGGTACAGGGGCCCCATGACAGATTACGGGCCTGGCAGCAGCATGAGCGAGTCGGTACGGGGGCCCATGGCAGATTACGGGCCTGGCAGGCAGCAATGGGAGGCCCGTAAATCTGCCCAGACACCCCTATGACAAAAAATGGGGAACCCACCAGCAGTGTGAGGAGACCTGAAATTGGCACATGGCAGAGTGTGGCGATGGAGACAGCAGCAATGGGAGGCCGTACAGGACCCATAGACTCACTCCTGGACCTGGCAGCAGCAGCATGAGGAGGCGGGGTACAGGGGGCCTATGACAGATTACTAGGCCTGGCAGCAGCAATGAGCGGCCCGTCGGCCAGTACGGACAAAATGGAAACCATGGCACATTCCGAGAGCCTGGCAGAAGCATGGGGAATGCCGTACAGGGAAC